GTCTAGTTATGTTATGAAGTGTTGTATTTCGGTGATGAGCGTAATTCTTTCGCACAATTCCAAAGACATTGTTTGTTTTGATTGTTTTTTTTTTCTTTGGCAAAACCACTTCCTGCCTATTGCTGTCAATGTCATGTTGGTGCTTTTTCTTTCTCTTTAGTAAACTTACAATTTTCTGGTACCTAATGGAAAAATAGTGTGGCATTTTTGCTTCAAAGATATTATGGTTTCGTGACCGAATAGAGTGACAGAAGCTTCAAATTGAATCCATACGCTGATTTCAACTAGCCGTTTCTAGAGGAGCTTCCAGCCATGGAGCTTCCGGGTGGCTACCTTTTGATCTGGGAAATCCTGTAGGTACAATCAGTAATCAGCATCATGTGTAGTGCATGGCACGGCACTTATCTTCCTTTGGTGGACTGTGTTAAGGTGTTGGTGGCACTATAATGCAAGTGACATGACCTCGTCTAAATATGAGCTAGGCGACAGATTGGGCTCCAAGCACATTTCAGTTCTGATTTATGTATCTTGTATCTATATATCTTGTTTTTAATCTTGTGACTCCGTCTTTTAGTGGGTCAAGTGCCTGTTGACGGTCTGTTGAATAAATACAAAATACAAAATACATGTAGATACAGTGCGTACCTTGCGCTGTTGCCAGCCAACCTAACCCATAAGCCACATCACATGGGGAATATTATATACCTACTGTGGAATCCGCTTAATAATTCCACCTTGGTGACACGGCGTTTTGGATTCATTAAGCGGTGACTTTATAAACCGGAGTCAGTGATGCTTCTATGAAAAAATCCGTGAACAGCTTAAGTGGCTACAATAAGCGGCTGGATTTAATATCCGAGGAATTATGAAACAGATTCTACTGTATATGTAAACATCACCAGTACCCAGCTTAGTAAATGGCAGGTTTCACCTTGCACTTTTCATGTCTATACTCGTTACTCGATATCCTGACCGTCAATGATCAGCTGATACAACCCTGAACTTGTTATATAGGTATATGTTGGCAACGAATTTTGCCCACGAACGAATTAATGAAGAATTTGTTCACTGAATCATGACCAATTTTATCATTACGGGCGTCCTTTTCTCGCCTCAAAATATGTAGTTCACTCATGGTTCGTTCATGTGTATCAATATCTCTCCTCCAGTTCGTCAGGACAGACTTTACGGACACTGGGTGAACGGGCACTATCCCTGTCTATGGTCAAACAGGATAGATCGCCGCATCTTTCCGTGCGCTTCGGCGGAACCCTGGCTCCGATGTTTGGCTTCACCGAGATTCCGTGATGTTTATTTATGAATCTCTCCAGCAAGTTAGTTTGATAATCAATCAGGTCAAAGCACTATGATGAAACCGAAAAATGCGAGATGTAGAGGTGTTACAAGATGTTCAGCATTCGTCGGAAATGTGTAACCCAAAACCGTCGAAAGGAAAATGAAACGTTTGGCCATTGTCATTGTTACTCGGCTAAACTATTAGATATCAGTCGGCTGAGTCATAAACTGGTCACAGACTGCGAACTGGATTTTATGAACGGGTTCGTTCGGGTTCCGTTATGCTCGTACTTTGTTAAACTCATGTTGCTGCCTGGGTATTGGCAGTGTGGTTAGACATTAACACCTCCGAGACATGCCCGACCCCGGTGACTCATTGAACGGCGAATCTTCCTGTCACTCGCCGCGCCGACAGCGGCTGTCAGATTGTAGAGTTCAACGTAGCCAATAGTGTCCAAATGTCACACCGGGACCGAACTGACCCAGTGCAGCGAGCTCACGAGCTGTGAGGAATCGATTGCAGAGATGTGCTGCTGATGAGGGTACGACCGGCAGTCGGGCGGAGCGGCGCTCGTTCCTTCCGTAGTGACCGTTCAGTGTTGCCCTTGTTCCGTCGGTGTTGCCCTGACCGTGTGGCTGAAAACCTCGGTTTTATTTGGTCAGAGTCTCTGTTCTCCTCAGTGCTGCCCGGCCCGCTTCACTCATCACCCTGGTTTTGCCCATCGCCGCACTAGTGCCCCCCAGTGCATTGCCCGGTCCTCGTGCTGGCTTCCTTGGCTCTCCTACCTGTGTGCCGCCGCCGACCTTGCCGCGCCGCCTCCGGCGGTCGTCGTTCGGAGGGCAGCGCCGACGGCCCCGGAGACCTGGACATGCTCCAGCCGCTGCCGCTGGACACGCCGCCGGCGACTGCGGCTCGTCTGTCTAATGACGTCAGTGCCACAGCGGAACAGCTGAGCGGGTCCGCACCGCTGCTACCGGGCCGACCCCCGGAGTCCGCGGCACGTCAGGTGCAGCACAGGGGCGGACGCAGAGCGTGGCTCCGGCGTGCGTCATTTGACGTCGTTGGGGTTGTTATGCCGAGTATTTATTGTTCAATTCCGAGGTGAGGTGTGTAGCTAGGCTCGGCTCTGACCCACCTGCCCAAAGGAGATGAATCAACAGCGTTTCGGTGTAGTCTTTGAGGGCGATGTTTGGAATGCGAGGAATTTCGATGTCATGATGATGGTCCAAAAATACACTAAAAGGTTCTATTTTCTACCCTGCGTTATCTGAAGTCTAAATGGTGAGGGAGTGGAATTTCCAGAGGCGATAGGTGAAGTCGGTATGCCGAGGACACGTCATTGTGTTTCTTGTCGGTCTTCGTCAGCGGCGGTACGCTGTAACCGCCACATCCGTGGTTTATGTGGCGGAATGATGGCATTTACGGCGAATATTCCGCCGGTCATAATCAGCCGAATCACGCTAATTAACTTCCACGCAGTACTTGAGCACGGCACGGGGTGAATGGCCGACATGAATGTTATTCGGTCGTATCGGCCCAGTAGCGCCTGGACAAATCAGTTACGCTAAGCTGTTCTCAGAAGAGTGGCGTCAAGTCTGAGAATTCTAGTGGGTAGTAAAGTCGTAGCTGCCTTTTCTCAAATCAAGCGTAGCGTCTCGCCCCTCCCCTCTGGACATTGTGCGTTCGAGCTTGCTATTGTTAGCGCGTGGTAACTCGAGGAGCACCGCCCTCAGGTATGACCAGATGAATGGAGCTCGTATAATTAACGAGCGACACCGGCAGTTGGCTCTGGCGCCGTCTCACGGCCGTCATTCATTTCGGCGCAGGTGGCGAGCCGAGGTGTTGCCCGATTTTACGATGTTGCCTGGCTGAGCTCGGAGCCAGCACCAGCTCTGACCTCAACTCAACGCCGGCCATCGTGGCGAAATGGTATAGCTGTTGACGTGTCAAGTATTTATTGGTTATTCTAGCTGATAGTTCAAGGTGGCCTTCGATCATATAAACATCGATGGTGAGGCAGCCCCACAAATAAACGCGGATAGTGAGGTAGTTGGGCGCCAGTGACGCACCTCTGTGTCGCAGCTCGCCAGCCGGGCACGCCGGGGCTCGCTCGACTGCTCGGACTCACTGGGGCGCGGCGAGCCCGTGTCACACGTGTCACACCTTTGTGGCACACGGATGTGACGCCCGACAAAAGCCGCGGTGACTCAGAGCGCCATCACTTTGTGGGCTAAGCCGGCCGGCCGGCGGTGGCGGCGTCCTGTCATGGTCGCTCGGTTTGCTCGGTGGTTGCTCGGTGGCTCGGCTGCTCGACTGCCCCTCTGGCGGTGGGCGGGTACGGGTCGTGGCCGCGCTGACCGCAGCGGTCGTGTGAAGCTCCCGCCGCTCTGTTCCCGGACCTCTGACCGTTCCCAGACCGGGCGGAGGAACCCGCCGGCGGTACGGGACCCGGGTGCCCTCAGCCGGTCGTCCTGGGCGGCTGGTCCGAGTCGGGTCCGCTCGGTGTATGCTGAGGTCCGGGGTGGGTCAGGGGCCAGCCCGCTGCACTGCGGCTAACCGGTCACGGATCGCGCCATAGGGGGCGGGTCGATACCGCGGTCTGCGGCCGACCAGCAACCTCCCCATGACTCAGCCGGCGGGTTCAATCCCTCCGACTGCCGCTGATCGGGTCACGGTGCGGCCGGCTCGATTGTTGACCTGTCGCCTCCCCTTCCTCCGGGCGGAGCGCCCCGCCCCGGCCCGCTTCAACATCCGGGAGGCGGCCGTTTTCGCTCGACACCGGCGTCGGCTGCTTGGGTTGGCCGCGGTGCCGCTCCGGAACGGGCCGGGATGGGACGGTCGCCAGGCGCGTCCGCTGCCGGTGGAGGTCGGATCACACGCGCGGCCCGTCACTCGGCACCCGACACCGCTCACTCGGCGCCCAACACCGCCTGTCAACCCGTCAGCGCGCTAAGGAAGAGAGCTGTAAAGAGCGACTGATCGATGGAATTGTTTGGACATCAGACGCTATGGCATTGTGACTTTTTGAAGACAGGGATGGTTGCTAGTCTTCGGTTTCACCTGTATCCCTGTCAATGAATTGCGAGTATTCTGAGCTTTTTTTAACTAATTGAGCGAACCTGTTGAAGCATAGACCTCTGTATACTCTGACCTCGGTATACAGAGGCCTATGGTTGAAAAGATATCAGCTTATAGCCAGGAAGTTTATGTGCATGAACCGAGCATATGATACGTTTGGATGGTAGGTTCTGACGTCTGTGGTCATGCTTAAATCAGCTGATGCGTGGTTCTGGTATGCAGCTCACTGCTCAGGCAACCCCTTTTCCTACAGACGTTTTTACTGCTCGACATGATCCTTGCACGAATAAGAGGTTAGTCATACCACTAGAGCTTTAGTTGTAGAATTGGTTGCGATTCCTTTTAACAATATGATAGTTAACCAAGCAAGTCGTTTCTGAACGAGCTCATAAAGGTTTTGCCCATAAGAGCCCTGATGCTGTGTCGACTCTATAGAATGAATTCAGCTGACCTGCAGGGTTTAACAGATGACCTGACGTTTCAAGAAGTGGCGCCTCTCTCCCCAGCTAACAGCCCACCATCGCACTGACGACCCCTTCCCTTCCACACTACGCCGATCCACCTCGTCACGTTTAGAGATGACGCCAGCAGTCGCACTGATCGCCCCCCTGCCTTGTGTCCGCAGGGGACCGACAGGATGACGACTTCGTGTTCGACGACATCTTTGAGATGCTGGACGCGGACCTGCAGCCGGTGAAGCCGGACCCCGACTGCCCCGACTCCAGGAGGGTGTTCGAGAACCACAAAAAGGTGAGCCACTGTATCCACTGTCCTGGGCAGGAGAGTCCTCGAGTCACTGAAGTCACTGTAGATGAGTGTGTCACTACGTGTGGCTGCGTAGTTGAGGCGGTAAGGGGTCCTCTGTGATTGGGAGCCTGACATTGTGTAGGGTCCTGTTATGTATACCGGCTTGTGGAGATTGGATGGATTGGAGGCCCTGTGTGACCTGCGAGTTGAGATTGTATGGGATTTGAGATTTGGATCGGGGAGGGAAGCTGGCATTGTATGAGGGTCTTCTGTGGCTGAGGACATTTTATAGAGGTATTTTTGGCTGGGAAGTTGAAATTGCTTGGCGGGTTATTGACTGTTTATGAATTGATGGATAGGCATGGTAACCGCTAAGGACCGTGGGTGAAGCCAAGTGGCGGACGTTCTGATCAGGAGTGGGTAGACGAGTAGCCGGAGCCAGTGGTCTCTCTGTCGGCAGCCGCGTGTAGGCGGGGTCAGTTTTGGCGGCGGGCCGGTGGAACTTGTAGTGGGTGTAGCTCAGGCGTCTGAGTCAGGCCGATGAGCTGAGCCGCTGAGCTGTCAGCGGATCTGTCCGTCAGAGAGTTTCAGTATTGAACTGGTGCTGACTGAACGGCGGGGCGCGGCGCCCGGGCGCAGTGACTCAGGCCTGGTGGGCCGCTCACTCCCAGGGGGCTTATGTAAGATTTACGCGTTTCAAAGTTACGTCACACACTGATTTGTATATTATTTGGTGTACTTGTGTCGTACATGTCTGAGTCCCGATTAGGTGATTTACAGTGCAGCTTTCTCCTAGCTTTCGTCACCCGTGGCGGTAATGTGTGCCGCTGACGTACCCTGCCGTCCTCAGTGTCAGATTTTCCGGGGCAAATCTGTCCAGCTATCCTGAATCAGGCGTACTGTGATATTTCTCAGGTGATATCACCCCAGCGTTAGTGTGACATGCTCACTGGTGTGTGACAAAGCTTAATGCTAGAAGGATTGGTAATTCATATGATATCCAGGAAAACGGCATTATATGCTGTAACATAAGCGGTGTTGCTCTATTTTGCTCAAGGTGACGCCGGTAATCTCTGTGTTGTGTGTGTTAATCTCCCCGTGTTGCTATGGTCGCCCGGGACGGTTCTCTGCTCGTTGGCGGCCCTCTGACCCGGTCTGTCGCTGTCGGCAGCTGGCCAAGGACTACCTGAAGCTGCAGACCGAGGTGACGCTGCTCAACACCAAGAAGAAGCAGCTGGAGGACCGGCTGCACCGGACGGCCACCGAGCGGCACAGTCGCGACACGCCCAAATACGTGTCCGACCTGGTCAAACTGCAGGAGGAGAACGTAAGGACGCCGTCGAACGCCTCGCTCGCCGCCCACCCTGCCCGTGCTGCCCCGCCCGCCACCTAAACTACCCGCACCGCCCCACCCGCTACCCACCCTGCCCCTGCTGCCCCACCCACCACCTAACCTACCCGCACCGCCCCACCCGCTACCCACCCTGCCCCTGCTGCCCCACCCACCACCTAACCTACCCGCACCGCCCCACCCGCTACCCACCCTGCCCGTGCTGCCCCACCCACCACCTAACCTACCCGCACCGCCCCACCCGCTACCCACCCTGCCCCTGCTGCCCCACCCACCACCTAACCTACCCGCACCGCCCCACCCGCTACCCACCCTGCCCGTGCTACCCCACCCACCACCTAACCTACCAGCACCGCCCCACCCGCTACCCACCCTGCCCGGTGCTGCCCCACCCACCACCTAACCTACCCGCACCGCCCCACCCGCTACTTACCCTGCCCGTGCTGCCCCACCCGCCGGGAGTGAATCAAACAGGAGCGGCCGCCGCGCTGGTGTGACGCTTGCCGATGAATGACACCATTGTTAATCATCGTCGGGTTTTCACTGCATGATGTGTTTGTGCTTAGCGTAATGCGGGGTTCGTGTTAAAGCCGCATTTGCACTGTGCACTCCATTAGTTAATTGACTCGAGGGGAAGGTAGGGGTGGATTAGGCTGGCTTGTGGTGACAGCTGGGATAATTACACGACTGTGAGTGCTAGTAACTGATCCAGTATTGCCCCTGGGGAGTGGTATATGTCACGCTTATTAATGACCTCAGGGGTCAGTTCACCCGAGTCACGAATGGACCGTGTCGCTGTTCCAACTCAGCCCCAATACCCCTGCTGCGTTGTTTCGCCTGCCGTCACACTTCTGTTGCGGATCCTGTCTGAACTGCTCCTCTGCCGGCCCTCAGGAGAACCTCCGCAAGCTGCACCGCAAACTGATGGCCGAGCGGGACCAGCTGACGCGACCGCGCTCCGACCAGCTCTCCGACGACTGGAGTGTTCTCTCTGGCTGACGGACGGCACTGCCCGGCTGATGGAGCGTGGTGTCCACCTGATGGGACGTCTGCCGGCGGCTACAGCCCAGCTGACGCCGGCTACACGGCATCGGCAAGGGCTGGAGCCCTCGTATTAGCCTCTACATACAGCCCAGCCTCCGAGCCTACAGCCCAGCTGATGGCAATTATGCCGCAGCCAACGGTGAAGATCACGCGATTGAAGTTGACGGTCCCACCAGACAGGGTCTGTTGCGGAAACGCCACCTGGTGGAACCGTTGGAGATATTTGGTGCTGCTACCTGGTACCCCTTCTGATCAGCTATCAACAGCGCCATCGACCATCCTGCCGGTCCAGTCTCTGGTGGTCTGGTGGTCCAGTGCTGGTCTCTAGTGGCTCTGCGGGTCCAGTGCGGGCCTCTGGTGATCCTGATCCTGCCGGCCCGGTGTTGCACAGGCCATCCCTGCCGCCTCAGCATCACTGCCCTCTGGTGGCTGGAAGGTCGCAGCTGAGGTGCGGACGCCTCTCGGGTAGCCAAGTCCTCCGCCCGAGTCAGTGGGTGCGGGACTGTGGGATGTGATTACCACAGCCAGTCACGGCCGTGCCCCGGCTGACCGCCGGCCGGTGACCTCCACTGAGGGTGACACTGCCGCCGGCCAGTGGCGGCGCTCGCTCCGCGGACAGACTGACATCTCCCCTCTGAGGGTGATGCTGCGTCAGCCGCCGGCCAGTGACGCCGCTCGCTTCGCGCACGGACAGACACGCTTGACCGGCGCGCTGTCCACCCGCTATGCTGGGTGAGACGCGCCCCTGCCGTGGCTTATACCGCGACACCGTCCGGCGGCCGTGCTGGTGCGGGGGCCGGCTGTGACCGCAGCTGGTCGGACGGCCCTCACCAGTGACCAGGGTCAGTGTTGTCGTGCTGGCTGAGGACTCACGGCTGTTTTACTGCAGTGACACGAGCCCGGGCCCGTCCTGGCCGACTGTCCTGTGGCCGGTTGGTGTGGCGGTCCCCGAGGGGCTCCGTGTTCCTGTCTGTGCCTGTCGCTGGGTTCTGGTGCCGATTCCGGACGCCGTGGCGCGACTGTATTAACACTGGTGCCGCGCTGGTGCCGCTGGTGCCGCTGCAGTGGTGTTGCTGTGGTGATTGGTCAGCGGTAGAGTCAGTGTGTGGTGTCACTAGCCTGTCTGGGTGTCAGAGTCCCCGGCCCTGTACTGTGAGGCTCGGTGTTTGACTGTGACCGTGCGACCTGTGTGGAGGGTGCGAGAGGCCTGTCGTCCCCGCCCCGGTGACGCCCATGAGCTATGCTCTGTGATATATATTGGATAATATTGGATGAATACAGTATGGTGTTTATTTGAAACATCTTTCGTCACGTGGCGCGGTTTGAACCATTAGTGTCGTGAGAATCGTAGCTGGTTTGTGAAGTATCTACACAACATTCGGGGAGAGCATAAAGCACCAAATCTAGACTGAAATATCTACCTCTATGGGGTGGCAAGACCCTTGGCGCCACCAGCGCTGTCGGGGCCCGCGGGGGCGCCCTCACCACGGGCCAGAGCGGCCTCAACACAGACTTTGGCTCCAACAGTCCTCACTGGGGCGCCCTCACCAGACCGCAGCACCCTAAACACACCGGGACACCACCAGTCCTGACCGGGGCGCCGCCAGCGCTATCTGGCGGTCCCGGCGACAACTAGCGTCTCACAGAGATCACCCGATAGCCCAAGGCCGGTCGGGGCGTGTGTGCGTCACGAGCTGTCGGCTTTCCTCCTTTCCAAGGCTGCTGCTGTTGGCACTGCGGCCGTCACCGGGCCGCGTATTCGCCAATTGTATTACACGAATCGGCCAACCAATAGCTTGCCTCCTGAGTGACGTCAGCATGGCGTCATACTTTCGGTCCTCGCCCTGGTGGCGTCTATTGAAGCTAGGTTTTAAGTTATTAACATTTAAGCTACATGGGGTACATTATCGCCGTGGCGAAGTGGTTAGAGTATCGGAATGGTGGCTTAGTAGGTGGTTCGAATCCACTCGGCGACTTCGATTTTCGTGTCATCTGTCATTGTGCGTTTTTTATACATTTGTAACGGCGTGCACCTAAGAAATCAGACGTAGGCATTCTTCTAATGAATATGTTGCATAAGATAGATATTTGCAGTCCAACCGATTGGTTCGGTTTCGGTATTTTCCAATGGTCTTTGTTTGTATTTGGTTTGGTAGCGGTGTTCTGATTTTCTGTGATTGACATCACTAATGCATAGTGCATACTATGCGAACGTAGCCAATGGAAAGACAAATGGTGCTGGGCGATGGCCATTCATTGATCAATATTTCTCACTGCCAATGGGTGATAGCACGCAGCATTGACAGGGGCGGCGCTGACCTTTTGAAAGTAGGTGGGCACTTGGCAAGGTAAAGTACCTAAAAGTAGCGAAACCTAAGATGAAAAGTAAAAATCGCACGCTGGTAAGCAGGCTATTAGATAGCTTTTCGTGTAAGAATCACCATGCACAAAAAAGTTCGGCATAGCTGTTAGCGTAATCACGGGACGAGATAATCAGTTTCCAGCCGTCAGAGCGTCATCTATAGGAGCTATGCCCTAACTATAACTTTTACATTTCAGCCGCCAGGGGGATACCTAAGTCCTCTTACTTGGAATCTAGTTAAAGTCAAAAGATTTATATTAGACGTTTATGAAGATAACTTGGGACTGGTTGTTAAGTTGCATGCTCACGGCGGGCTGTCATCAATTTATCTCTATACATGTCTTATCTGATCGATGAAATAATACAGGAATCCGTTGTCATTCGAGTGTGTTTCATAATAGCTCTTCCGACTTTGACGAATATCGACAGTGCCGTAACAAAATTGGTAGTTCAGGTATAGACTGCAACTGCAGTTCTTTTGCAACTTATTCCTTAATCAGATGAACACTTGTCAGAGATTTATTGGGCGTACGATATTGGCGTGCGAACGTAGGGGCCAAAAATGCGCGTCTACGACCGACTTCTTTTTAAGAGAAAAGAACCGCTGAAGCAAGAACCGATCCACCCACCTGTCGTCCATCACACCGAGACTCTAACCACTCGGCTACGACGACACATACATGTCTGATAGCCATATACAATGCAAAAATAGTCTCAACTCAAATCTAGCCTCAATGCCATGCATTGTCGCGGCGGATGGCTATGACGTCGCACTAGAGATGTCGCTAGTTGATGGGCCGATTCGTGTAATACAATTGGCGAATACGCCACCGGGCCGCCGTATCTATTCGGACGGGCAGGGTTGGAGGGAAAATCGGTGGTGCGTGCGGGGGACACTCCTCAGTCCTCGGTGCCGGGAGACATTAGTCACGAGGAAGGTGGCTCCTGAATGACAATGAACGTACCAAGGTGATCTGATTGTCAGTTTATCTAAGCGCTATATTTTAGACGTAACTTTGCATCTGGTGAATTTATGCCGTGTCCGAAATGGCTAGACCTAGAGGGTGTTTGTCCAGCCCAATGCTATATGAAGGGACTCTAGCCATTCTCCAATCGGGAAGATAGGTGGGTGCCAGTTACACGGCGATCGCTTTTACGCAGACTCGCCTCGAGAAAACTATTCATCACACCGCGCCGTGTAACTACTCGTGAATCAAGCACGGCTTTGTAAGCAGCGGCCGAGCCGTGTTTTCTACTCAGCCCCGGTCCATCATCACTTCCCCATGCTTCCCATCGCCGTCAGTCTCGCGCTGTTCCATCCTATCCATCCGCACCGACCTGAACCGCTCACCGTCCGGCGATACCGTCCACTGTGAGTGGCGCGGCGGGGGCGGGCGGTACTCACATACCGGCAGGAATCCCCGGCCCAGGTAAACAGCGTCCGAGCGGTCGCCGGGGGACGGGGATACGTAACCCCACCCCCACCACTGTCCCTTCCCCATTGTGTGCGGGGAATGCGATAATGTGTGACGAGCGAAGGGCTGACGGGTCCGGCTGTGTCCACTGTCCGTCCCTCTGTCCCTCTCACCCCTCTGTCCACTCCCGACTGTTCCCCTCCCTCCCCGCCCCGCCCGTACCGTTCTCTGCCGGCCCCGGGAGCCCGGTGTCCGCCATCTTTGTCCCAGCAGCAGCGGCGGCGGCGGCTCGGCGGCCCGGCCTGCAGTGGAGCGGCGGCCCGGCCTGCAGTGGAGCGGCGGCGGCGGACGCGGACGGTGCTCTGGCGGCGGCGGTGACCTGACCTGACCTGACCGGACCTCCCGCGGCAGCCATGGTGTGCTCGGCCATTACCCTGTCGCTGGCCACTGTGGCCGGCGTGATCTCTGTGGCGCTACTCGGCATCGCCTTCGGTACAGACAACTGGATGTACATTCGCGTCGACCGAAAACAGATACAGGTGAGTGGTCACAGCACCATGGGCCAACGGAGGGGGTCAAGCCTCTGTGGGTCACGGAGAGAGAGGATCAGTGAGCACGTCACCGCGGGTGCCACTGGCTCAGCCCTGCGCTGGCGTGGACATTACGGATATATACCGTAACAGACTCGACGTCGCCCCTCCTATAGTCACTTTAGGAAGGGCGAGTCGCTGTGGGTCTAGTGGAGTGGAGGATTGATACCCGACTATTTCTCTTGTGAGAGTAAGATGACTGACTGGACACGGGCGATTATTCTGCATACGTCTTTCTCAGAAATGATCAGCCTAGCCGGTTCCAAACTCCTTAGATAAATTTCAGGCCAAAAACAGCGGACGTTTTGTTACGTGAGCCGTTTCCGTATTTGTTACTGGATAATCGCCGTACAGCTGAAATATAGGCGAGCTGCAGCCATGAATGCTGGGCAGTTTAGTCCGCTATACAGAATCAAGCGGCAGCTGCGTAACTCGATCGTTACGGCAAGATAGATGAGCGTTGGTGTTATTGTCATGTTGCTCTAAGTGTGCTGCAGTCTCTGCTACGTTCTCATGCAGCGTTGCAGTCTCCACGCTACCACGGTGCCAAATTGATAAATCGTGAGGCTTCTTAGATTCCCTTCGTGACGGCTTCGATCGAATGTTGCATAAAATTATTAGCTTTTGTCAGTCCTGGCATTAAGTTGCTACACTAAAAAGGAATGCTAGAATCCGCTTTGTGGATCAGAATGCAGCCTAGGCAGGCTCGCTCGTGGTCGGTTTCTGATCCCGCAGTCGTGCCGCCCATCCGTGACCCGGACCATGGATTGGATGGATTCTGAAGTCAGTGGCAGCACCGCCACCGGGGCGGCATCACTTCCCATGCTCCATTTTCGTCGGCAGCCAGAGACGCGCCGGAGGCTTCGCGCGCGGCGGAGGTGCCGGGTACAGCCGGACGGTCGGAACGGCGCCGGCGGGTTAAACGGGCGTCGGACGCACTGCAGGCGACGGAGTCACACGGAAAGGCACGAAAGGCAACGGATATTAAATGACGTGAAACGATAGAGAACGGCTCGGACCTGAAAATCATGTCACTGAAATCTGGATGCACACTTAGCTCGCATTAGGCAACCCATCACTACAGCAAGGGAAAGCTGAAAGACCAATCTGTAGTGGTGTGATGGGCCCTGGCCCGTCTTTTAGGCCATGCTCGAGGGCGAACTAGCTCGGGAAAAACGACGGCACTGTTCGGGTTGAGCGAGGTTTTCCGGGACGAGTGGCGAATCCGGGACTGTTGGCCGGGTTCTGTGAGAATCGGACGAGTTTTTACCGGCCCTGAGTTGCTCGGTGGTCGTGACCAGACAACGATTCCGGCTGTATGGCTGCATGACGAGACACCGACTGCATGGCCCAAATTCTGCAGTGGCCGGGCCTTTGTTGCACATCCCAGGTCTTTGCTGATAAAACTTTTTAGGTACTTTCAGCAAACGAGCCAAAAGGAAACTATTTGTGCATCGCTGAGTAGCTACAGCTTATGGTGTCAAGTTTGCTTCCTGATGTCGTTTTCTCCTCATTTTACGCCTGCCGACGGGTTGTGGCGACAATAATCCGACGAGTAGAGACGTGCTAAACTTTCTCGTCGTAATGACTCGTGCCGATTTCGAGCCAAATGGGCCTGGGCAATCGCCAGACAAATAAAAACGTCAAAGGGAATGGGTTAGAGCTGGTTTGAAGGGATCGACACTTTTCTTTCCCCACTTCATTATCATAGCTACGGCACAGGTGAAACTTGGAAAGCGCTCGGGCATGCATGCGTGATGCAGTTTTCAGGCTCAGTAAGCCGGCCTAAGGAATAGGGATGGGTCATGGGAAGGCAAATACCGTCCCGGTTAGCCTTACTGGCGTGCCTGGCCTCAGGGATCGCGGGTTTTTGCCGGATGCAGCAGTGATGGCTTCACATTAATGATTGCCTGCTGGGTTTGATGCTAGTCTCTTACCGTCAGAGTAGCGAACAGCCTTCTTCTTCGATACAATACATTTACCAACAAGGATGAGAATGAGATGCTCTTACTTTTTTGCCTTCGCGATGTAGTACCTAAGCTGCAGTCAGAATATGAGAGAGAGAGAGAGAGAGAGAGAGAGAGAGAGAGAGAGAGAGAGAGAGAGAGAGAGAGAGAGAGAGAGAGAGAGAGAGAGAGAGAGAGAGAGAGAGAGAGAGAGAGAGAGAGAGAGAGAGAGAGAGGCCACTCCAGCGCGCGGCATGCGACACCAGGGTGTGGCGCATTCCTCTCCGCGCGGCGGGCTCAGCTCGCCCCTACCAAATTCGTCTCACGTCCTCGACCCGGCAAGACGCGGCAGGGAAAGTCTGTTTGGCTGCACCGCGCCGGAAATGAAGGACAGCGCGGCGGCGTGGTGCGGCGCACTGGCGGCGGCCATGGCGCAGTCGAGGCCCGCTTTCTCCGGAGCTGCCGCCGGCTGGTGTTCCGTTCCGAATACCACCCCCCGGGGCTGTGGGCGGTTCGCCGGCCAACCTGCCGGGCGTGGCACCGGCTCAGCCAATTACGGAAATATCGCACAGTTCGCGTACATATGGCCTCTGGCAGATGTGCCTGAAGAGCCCCGCTGTGGCACTGTCTGGCTGCAGTGCGATTATCGTTCTATACGGAATGCGATCCGTAATGTGTGGCCTTCGGAAATTTGTGTGGGCGGGGCTGTACAATGTACATACACAAATGGCCGCTGGCCATGACACGGCTATCGTGATCTAATGGACGGGTGTGGTCGATTTCACGACGCACGACTCTGATTCTGGTGCCGTGACGAGTTATCGGACTGTGAAGTGACGCCGGGCACTCGCAGAGCAGGATACAAGTGAAATGGGCCGACCTTGGCTGTAGGGGCTGCCAATGGAGGCACAATTCGAACACACTGTGCGCTGGGCATGGTTTCAGAAAGCGAACCGATCTGCTTGAAGAAGAAGACAAACATTTTCACTTATTTGTTACATCCAATTCAAATCAACTTGGGATGGAAATGAAAAGGATTGTCATTAAGACCAATTCAGACGCGATATTTGGAACCCACCGTTATCATTTGACATGGTAAATGAATTACTTATCCGACTTATCTACATCAGCACAGTTGTATTCGGGTGAACCTGACATCGAAGCTGCATTTCCGCTTTCTGCTTTCGGGCTTTGAGTGGTGCATGCACGCTGCTTCCATGAGCACTGATTCGTGCAGTTAGATATCGCTGTTGTAAGCGATATTCTCGGCACATTAAACTTGGTGAAAGGGAAAAAGAATCGTACCTTTTGCCGACATTTACTTCCTCTGTGCCATGCTGGCACCTATTTAGGTATCTTGGACCATCTATTCCAGACACTGACGAAAGTGCAACGTAAGTGCATTGCACACAGCCAGGTATTTCGACACTTTATCCCAAGTGCCGGGGACAAATGACCATCAGAGAAGTGTCCTTTAGGCTTTATGAAGGAACCAGTGAATAATCGGTCAATTTTATTATGGCACCAATCGCAAAGCTGGTGCCATAAGCATTCTTCGGGCAACGTGAACAAATGAAATCCTTAAGAACAGGTCAAAAAGACGTCACCGCGCACGTTAATATTCGCTATAAACTAACACGAGTGCCCTTTCTTCTTATGTACATTTAAGTTACGTTTTATTATCTGCAGAAGATTAAACCAAAAAGCGTAATAGGAGATTACCGTCTTATTGCAGCAGTCGGTGCCGGGATAATGGCCGTTGGCTATTTGCTTTGCTTATGTGTTATAGGCGCGTAACTTATGTCTCGAGAAACGCTTCGGATGAGTGACTTTTCACAACAGCTTTATTCATTTAACGTCGACTAGGCCGACATCTATTCATGTCATGCACAGTGACGCGTAAAAATTCAACTATCGGTTACTGCAGCTTTATTAGATCACCTTCTTTCAGCGCTTAGCGAATGCTAGATATGAAATATTCGTCATTGTCGCCAACAGCCGCTTTCACGATATCGCACGACTTCTTTCCTGATCGGATCGTGCCAATAAAACAATCCACTCGAGCCAATAATGTCACCGACGTTTCGCAACTGACATGAGTCGCATGACCCCTTATGTCTAGCCACCCTCATAAGAATAGGTAGAAGTAGATTTGGCAAGCGTCTCGTCTCGTAATGTTGCCGTGACCGTGCATTCCTGACGGTAATTGCATGCAGTGACCCGAGACAATGGCATTCTCTGGCGGTCAGGAGCTGCGCGGTGGGTGCGGTACCGGCCTCCGCTCGGCCCCGACCAGTCGACAGTCGGCAGAGCTGCAGTCCGTCTGCGGGCCGGGACACCACAGAGCGGACGGCGATTGGAGCGACTTCCTGTTACATGCCGCCCTCCAAGTCATGGCTTACAAGGCTTCTTGGACCATTCTGTGGCTTTGGAACTCGCGTTCGTGTGATTTTTTCCTGTTTATCAAGGATAGGATATTACGCCACGGATCCTTTAATGATCGACGTTCATTCCACCGTGCAGCATATCGGGATGCAGAGAAAAGTGTCTCATGTGGGTGATAGCTAAGTCCAGCCTGATTAGAAGCCCGTCTGCTCATGGCGGTCGGCAGGGTCAGTGCGCTCTCGTCAGGGACCGTGACCCGCGCCGCGGCGCCTCGCGGGTCGGTTCCGCCTCGGCGCGCCCGCCTCTGCCGGTCTGGGATCCACTGCTGCCGCGGGCGCCGCGGGCGGGGTCAACGCCTCAGCCCCGGCTCGCACCGGCCGGCGCGGCGGACCACCAGACATACCACCAGCCCCCGTCTGACGGCAAACACCGCACCAGCTGATCCCCACAACCTGTGGGACAGATGGTCCCTTCGGCCAACCGCAGAGCTGAATCGACGATTATTAAAACAGACGAATCTTCGTGAAAGATATAGCAGCCTAGGTATAGCCGAAACATGAGGGAGCTAAATATTTCAAGCGCATTCCTAAGACAGTGATTTTTGTTTTGAAAACGCTT